CCAACTGACGAGCTCTGGTATTTAACGAAAACTCACTTGGGCAACCCTTCTCTGTAGTCTCTCTGTTTATAATTAGGAATGGCTATCCACAAATATTCATTTTGTGCAGCTCTACGCAAAATTTCTGAAACAAAGTTTTTCAGTATGGTTTATACAGATATCTTCCCATCTGTTTCTTCTGCTGTAACGTTCTTCCGCTAATACATTGTTGTATCATGTTTCATCGTCTTTTATTGGTATATTTTATTGTTGTACTGTGATATTTTCTGTAATTGTTGTAACAACAATAGATATTTAACCCTTGATAAAAGCGGAAGCCGATATATATTGGATATTAATGAAGGTTTTCTTCGGAATTTTGTGATCGTTATTTTTATAATTATTTCTAGCATCTAGTCTGCATTTAAACAGCTAAACTTTAATATATGCTTATTTTAAATCGAGAAAAAAATATTTTAATAATTCTATCGAAACTAAAACAACAACATATTGCCTCAGTAGCTCGGAAGTGAGTTTTGAGGGCTTGTAACGCATAAGTTGGGGGTTCGATCCCTGTGGTGGGCTCAGCACTTGTAACTCATTGTGAAGCTTTGTGCTTAATGATGAGAAAGTTTTCGAAAGTATTATTTTAATTATTTATTTGAGAACTGACTGAAATTAATACTTTTTCTATTACTCAGGTATTCTGTATTTTGTTGAAAATTGCTTTCGACCTGTACGTATTTGTGTATGATCCTAGATTACTATATGATTGTTCTGTTCACAGGAGGAAAATGCCCCTTCTTCTAATTCTCAGGCTGATTCAACGGTAATTTCTTATATTCTACTCTTTCTAAATCATTTTCTTGTAATGTTATGAACAATAACAGCATCTTGTTCTTTGCATTGTTTGAACCTTTTCTAACTTTCTAACCGTGTCAACCATATTTTATTATTTAGAAATTGAACGTCTAATTGCATTTTGTCGTAAATTTCAAACTTATGATCCAAATTGATATAATTTTGTATTTTTCTCATAACTCTACTCAAATCTAATAAAACAGTATATCATTCATCAGATTACCTCTTTGAAACCTGTATGATTTAACTTACGTGTAGTAACAATGACAATGTTGCAACATTTAGCGACCGTCCTTGCTTCGCCGCCTGATGGGCGCAGTCAGAAACTCGAATTCACGAGCTAGTCATGAAAGTCTTAATCAAGACGAGGATCATTATGAGGATGCTGAAAGCCGATCTCTTCGATCGCGACCTGGATCGTTCCGAAACTCAAGACTGAGGTGATAATTTATTTTATTATTATTTCATTTTTAAGTCAGCATGTTCAGGGAGCAAATTACTATTCTGTCCCCTTCCCCCCCTCCAAGAAAAAACAACAACTTCAACTAAAAGAAAAAATATTATTCCTCTTAATCTTCAATAGAAATCATTGCCTTTAAGTTTTTAATTATGTGTACATACTTTAATTTATTTTAAATTTTAAACCATTATCAGAAGCAGCAGAATCACATTCAAATAATACATTATCTCATCATTAAAAACTATAGTAATTATTATTTTCAATAAATTATCAGAGATTAATTTTAAACCATTATCAGAAGCAGCGGAATCACATTTAAATAATACATTATCTCATCATTAAAAACTATAGTAATTATTAATTTCAATAAATTCTCAGAGATTAATTCCCCGTAACTAAGGAAATATCTCTCTCGCACTCCGTGGAAACAGTGATGGACACTTCTCTGACGTGTAACTATTAAACTTTCATCAGATTTATTGTCCAATGGAATAATTAATCGAAACATTAATTGGGTAGTCACAGAAATACATTTTTGATAATTTTGTGTTGTTTTCGAATTATCTTTAACATTCACGAGTCTTAATTGCAAGAACTTTGAAAAAGGTAATTTTGGCTGAACTCAAAATAAATGTAGTTTTCTTGGCCAAATAATTAGTTTTTCCGTATAAATAGAAAGGTAGCAGCATTTTTAATAAACTCAAACGTAATAGCTAAACCAAAAAAGAAATACTTAAAACAAGTGTTTTTCGTGGGTTAACTCACAAATAATAGTTTTAGTATGGTGTTAAACACTTGAGAAAGTTAGTGTCGTTAAAAACATTAAATTCCACTGTATCCTTGTGGTTGAAGTTGGAAGTATTGAACTTGCTTGTTATCAGGTCAGCATTTACCAGATTATTTACTAATGGTAAGGCTTTACCAAATTTTACATACTTATGATTAGGTGAATTTGTCCATGTTTTTCTAATGGAAACTTACGATAGAAAAAACGGTTTTTAAAACAATAATTAAAAAAATAGTACAGAATCTATTCCTTTTACTGGTACATATATATATTTCTTGATCTTAACTGTTTTAGGCGTTGTACATGACTATTCGGTGATTTTAATTGTGGGAATTCGCCTGATAACACAAACCAACACACTATTCAATGATTTTAATTGTGGGAATTCACCTGATAACACAAAACAACACGACTATTCAATGATTTTAATTGTGGGAATTCGTCTGATAACACAAAACAACATGACTATTCAGTGATTTTAATTGTGGGAATTCGTCTGATAACACAAAACAACACGACTATTCAGTGATTTTAATTGTAGGAATTCGTCTGATAACACAAACCAACACGACTATTCGGTGATTTTAATTGTGG